AATAATTAAACATAAATTTAAAAAGCAGCCAGATTGATATCCATCTCACATTATCCATCGTCATTGTATTTATTTTATGCTGTAAGTGTGTCTAAGTTTCTTTATTTCCTTTTCAGTCCTATCATTATTTTTAACAACAGTAGTTTTTAAGACGTGTATTTCTAATAGAATTTATGATAATTTTACAATAACTTAGCATTATAAATAATTTTGAAATTTTAATAATGGTGTTATTATTTTTAATGTAATCCAAAGATATTTTTGATGAAAATATTTTTTTATTGTGAATTTTGAGAAACTCCTCATGGCTTTACAAAACTTTGTTAAAAATTATATATTCAAATAAAACTATATGATAAAAATTGGATCAAATACTTAAGGCGACACCGTAGTCAAGGCAAGACTGAGCTCTGCCCGGGGCAACCGATCTCATTTTCCCACCGGTTCCCGCTCTTGACAACGAACCTTCTTGATAAAAATTTGTTTAGAATGCAATAATTTGCAATAATTTATTAAACGCCGCTAACACGGTATATATATATATATATATATATATATATATATATATATATATATATATATATATATATATATATAACTCTTCATATATATATATATATATATATATTTAATTTTAAACAAATCAGAAAAGATGTGAGTAGGTAATCTGAATTCGTCGCGCCTCTGGTAGGCAGTTTTAATTGAATTAGGGTCCGGTGTGTGGCGCTGCGCAAACGCCGCCTGCCGAAAATGGAAACGATTTTCCACGGAAAGCGATAGTGAAAAACTGATACTGGGGAATTGCCGGCGTCGGGCGTCGGAACGCGTCGAAAACGGAGCGGAAAAAAGGGTAGTGGCGTCCTTTAAGGGTGTCTTTTGAGACGAAGATCGTTAAAAACAGGAACTGCCTCCTGCTTTTTGGGGACCGATAACGGCGTATTTAAGCTCCTCGTTCTTTCTTTAAGATCCTTAAGTCAGAGACGTGCACTTTAAAACTTTCCAAAAAAATGTTGCCAATTATTAGGTCAGTGTATGTTCATCTTATTTGTTACGTACTTACTTTCAGTATATTGTATTGTTTTGGTGCCTTTTCTATTTTTAGACGTTGACGATCATCATATATATTATGATGATCGTCATATTATAGTCTGTCCAACGACAAGATCATTGACAGTCATAGATGTGTCTGTCATTTTCATTTCAAAGTAGTTTATTTTATTTTATTTTACAAAGAAATTTCACTGATAAGTTATTACTTTAAAATATTGTGAAAAAAATGTATAAAACTGAAAAAATGTAATCGAGTTATTTTATTTAAAAAAAACGGTATGTGTTAATACAAAACAAACAAGAACAAAACACCACATACCAAAAAAAGATAAAAAAAAGGACTATTTCTTACTTTCAAGCTTCAAGAAACTTTCTCCATTTATTATTATATTTATCAATATAACTTATGTACAAATACAAATTTGTAATATTCTACAGGAATAAATAAAACAACATAAATAAAATAAATTATTTTATTAATAATAACACTTACCAAATTTTATACCTTAAAGGTTAATTAATTACAACCTTTTGACATGATTTTTCTGCAGTACTAAAATCCATTATTTACATATCGTGTGATGTCGATATTTTACAGCTACTTCAGTTTTTAGTATATGTTTAGTACGATTATTGTACCATATAAAAGATGCACTTATTTACGACGAGATGGTATACAAACTTTATTGATGGTAACTTTATTGGTGTATAAGACTTTCTGCCTGGGCAGTGAGTATTAACTATAAACTGTACAGGGTGGATCAAATTCGACGCTTTTAAATGGAAACACCTTTTTCTATAGGAGATAGACGAAAACTAATATCGGTGTCTGGAGCTCAATTTTTATAAAAAAACATGATGGTGAAAACCGCACATCAATATCTGTTACCGTTTCGGAGTTACAGGGTGTTTTTCAAAAATGTGCATTTTTAACAAATCGCTGTAACTTTTTTGCTATGGAAAATTTTGTATTTCCATGAAAACATTTCCAAAGCACCCTTTTTCGTAGGATTTAATGGTTTAAGTATAATTTTTTTAAATTAATAATTTAAGAGTTATCAACTGAAAAATTCATATTTTATTTGGGACACCCTCTATATTTTAATTAACTGAAAAGAATTTAAAATTACCTATCCAAAAATATAGCACACTTGATATTTTGTTATAATCCCCTTCCAAATACAGAATTTTTAAAAGTTGGCTACTTTTAACTAGTAGGCTTTGGACCCCTTATTAATGATGCCCTTAATGGAACTCGAAAACATATTTTTCCAGCAAGACGACGCACCGCCTCAGAACGCTGAAGTTGTCAGCAAATTTTTGTAGCCAATTTCAAGAATAATTGAGTAGCTAACCAAGATCCCAGCCGTTGGCCGTTGAGGCCGCCTGACTTAGTGCCCATTGATCTAATCCTACGGATATATTTGCGGAAAAATAAAGGTTTCTTATTCTTCCGTATAATCTAGACAAGAATTAGAAATACTTAGCAGTTATGAGGGGATATCTTTCACCCTTACTGAGTTAATGAATTCCGCGAGAAATGTTCAAAAACGGCCCCGTCTGTCCATAACAGAAGACGGTCTATATGTCGAACACCTGTAGCAAAATCTCATGTCTTGGTTTGCTATTTATTTTTATTGTTATTAGATATTATAGTTTAAATGTGTTGCTGTTGGTTAAATATATTTTAAATTGTTATAAAATTCTGCATCTCTCATAGCAAATATTATTTTTGTTTTAATTGATGCTCACAGCTAAAATTATTTGGCATTACAGCCGGTGCCGTTCCAATCCTACTTATTTTAAGCCGGCGAATTTTTATAATTCTATATCTCGAAGAGGAATCGAGCAAAATATCAAGTGTGTCATATTTTTGGAAAGGTAATTTTAAATTATTTTCAATACATTAAAAATATACAGGGTGTTCCATATAAAAAATCAAATTTTCTGTTGATAATTCTTAAATTATTAATTTTAAAAAAATTATACTTAAAGCATTAAATTCTACGTAAAAAGGTGATTTGGAAATGTTTTAATAAAAATACAGAATTTTCCATAGCAAAAAACTTACAGCGATTTGTTAAAAATGCATATTTTTGAAAAACACCCCGTAACTCCGAAAAGGTAAGAGATATTGATATGCGGTTTTCACCATCATGTTTTTGACAAAAATTCAGCTCCAGACACCGATATTAGTTTTTTTCTATCTCTTATAGAAAAGGGTGTTTTCATTTAAGAGCGTCGAATTTGACCCACCCTGTACTCTGGGTCTACAGTTAATTTTCCCTCGATTTTTCCTCCACTTTACTTCAAAAGACACAAAACACACGTAATAACACGAATCAAAATGCATCATCTTCCAAAACACAGATATTTGACATAAGTTGACACAAAATTATAACCTATAATTTGGCAAGACTTTGACAAGCCTCAAAATATAATAAAACTGGTTAAAAACAACAAGAGACGACGTATAACGGATTTATATTTAAACCCATCCATAGTTAACTTAAAAAATATTAGAAACTTTTTTTAGTAAAATAAATAGATTGGTATGAGACGTCATCTGGTTTTCTTCTGTTATCGTCTGTCGAAAACTTACCTGAGAAAAAAAACAGAGTATATAACCATGGTTTTGGAATCTGTCTCAGCCGTAGGCCACTCTAAAAGGTGCTCAAGTTGCAGACCTGTCTACTGTCTTATATTTCGTAATCACATTTTTTTTTCGTTTAATTTAGCGTGTTCCTTACACGTTTTTCTGAATAACAAAGAGAAGTAAGAAGTAGTGATATGTCGGTATTTGAGTAACGCGATTTTGGAGCGATATTTTCTTGTAACGTCGTGTCGCGCTCCACAACGAATCAGGAACCTGTTACTGAAGAACGACGATCGTAATAACGACAAAACTATAAATTATTTATAATTTGCGAATAAAGTCAGCCGTCGCGCTCCTAGGGTCGCGATTTTATCGGTCATGAACAGTAGTAACTCGAACTGGTAACCACGTAGCGTCGCGCGATCTCGACCGGTTCGTCTGTTGCGAAAAGATGTAACTTGTAACGTTAAAAATACTTACTGTTTTCGATTTAATATTTTTGTTTCTCTATTTAAATAAGATTTAGTTGTAAAAGTGAAAACAATACATACGTATAGCGCCCATCGGCCGACTATTTGATTGCACGTGAGCACGGCTCCATAAGAATTATATTGCTTACAGATCTGCGACTAAGAATTGCCTATGTCACCCCCAGGCTTATTTTCCAATATTTCCTTTTACAGTATCCAAACTATTTAAAAACGTAAGTCAGAGAATTCAAGGTGTCTTGTTTTTCAAATTAATATTGTTTTTTAGAAAATATGCGATAATTGTTTTTAGTAGTTTATATGCAATAAATTAATTACTTTAATAATTATTAATTATTACTTTAATTAAAAAACTCATCTTATTTAAATAGAGATACTTTAAATAGATATTTTAATAGAGATTTAAATAGAGATACGACTAAATACTTTAGTCGGAAACGCGTAGTTCTCCCGCGCTCATAGTCACGGCTAAATAATTTTGGTGTTTAGAGAATGTTTGGTCATTACAATCTGTCTGACTGATTAAATATAACTTTATAATAGCTGTCTTAATTACATATGTAAAAATAAGTAAAGGTCATTTATTTCTTTTAGTTATCTTTCTCACCTGGTATCTGCCAAGGTTTCACAGGGAAAACCCCACAAACACGCCGGTATTGAAAGCACTTGAGAACACTACTGAGAGCCTAAGGTTTCATCCTTGTGAAAATAAGTAATGTCTGATCGCTCTGGAATATTGCACAATTTTATGTTAAATATTATTCCACTTTATAATTGATAGTATTGTAAATTTTTTGTTTTTTATATTTTAAATAAGCTCAGAAATTAAATAAACCTTTACTAAGAATACCAAATTCTTTTTTCAGGTATCTTCTATCAACAGGGTACTTCGCAATCTAGCAGCTCAAAAAGAGCAGTCTTCTCAGAACCCGCCTTCTACAACAGCCAACGACAGTGTCTACGACAAGTTGCGGTTGCTCAACGGAAACCAACCCAATTGGAGACCAACACCATGGTATTCTGCAGGGAATACATTTCCATTACAACCGCTTAGTCCACCTCCTACCATTCTCTCAGATGACACTAACAAGAAAGGTGAGTCACACATTTAAATATTATGGTAAATGGTAATAAATGTTATTCAGTGTTATACATTCTATATAAGTATTTTTAGCCGACCATACCAAAAGGTATGGTAGTTTCACTCAAAATGAGTTATTTGGGTTATAAATGACCTAAATACAAAATATTTTCATGGTGTCTGTATGTCTGTCTGCGTCTGTCCGTCTGTCCGTCTGTCTGTAACACGATAACTCAAAAACCGCTAAACAAGAAACACTGTGGCACCCGAGAATCTGGCCATTAGTTTTTGGTGGGGGTGGGGGATTGGTAAGGGGGTATGAGAGGGGGTTAAAAATTTAAAAAAATCGTAGCTCCAAAATTACAGTAGCTAGCGAAACGCGGTTTTCAATTTAAGATTAGGAATAATATTTGCAACAAAATTTGTAATAACATCAAAATCAGTCATTTTTTGTCGCAGTTTTTGAAATTAAAAATATTGGAAAAATTCCTTTACTTTGAAACTAAAAGAACTGTCTACCAACTATTTATTAACATATTTTAGTATGGGCGGCTATACGTGCCTCCCGGCGCCAATTTTTAGAAACAAATTTAATCATATTTTCATGTTTTTTTTTATTTTCTGTAAAACGATATGTAAATTTAGAAATGTATAAACGAGTTTTACAATTTTAGAGCAAACAAAATGTTTTTATTCAGAATGCATTGTTCTGAAAGTGTTAATTATAAAAAAGGTTTTCTTCTTGTAAAGGCAATCAAGGGACATACTGTAGATATACATAATGATATTCCCGCCAAAAAAACAAGATTAAGTGTACCGTATGATCGAAAAAAATCGGCGTCAGCGATGGCTATGAAATGAAGATCGCTGTCATTTTATATGTAAAGTTATATGGGAAATGTTATCGATTGTCATTTTCTATCCAACTTTTCGATCATACGGTATTATTAGGAGGAAAATAGGGTATTTTAGATAAGAAAAATATCAGATTTCTTAAAATATTGTATAAATATCTGAGAAATAGTTAATTTGAGCATAAGGTTTACATTTCAAACTAATATTTCTACATTTCTTGCATTTATTAAAATAAGCAATTTACTAACCAAAATTCCTATATTTATAAATAATTTTTGAAATAGTGCTTACTATATTAATAAAATATTTTAATGTTGCATTATTGTTATGAAGGTTATTTAATTTAGAAATTTAATAAAAGAATATCTGTGAATCATTTGTTGATAAATTATGCATAGTAATTCCTTCCAAGGTTCCTGGAATCTATATCTTAAAATTTATCTTATGTTTTCAAAATATATGACTAAAATTTCTTTTATTGACTTAATCTTCAATTATTATTTTTTGTATTTATAAATCTGTAAGTATCTGTTTGATATTAATTGTTAAAATTTAAATCTAATCTCATTTTTATTCGCGGTACTGCCTCTACATTTTTGCATTTATTAAAATATTTACTTTAACTAGCAAAATCGTTATATTATTTATAAAATATTCTCGAAATACTATTTACTATATTGATTAAAGATTTTATTTTTAAATAATTTTTATAAAAGTAACTAAACTAGAAATTGAATTAAGAATATCTGCGAATCATTCGTTGATAAATTATGCATAGTAATTTTTAAGGCACGGTTTCTGGAATATAAATCTTAAAATTTTCTATATTAAAATACATAACTAAAATTTCTTTTTTTCATAGCAGCTGTTAAAATTGCCTTAAATCTATCAAAAATAATAGATAAAATAGTACTTTAACTGCAAGGGTAGATTAAATGATACTTTAACAGCGAGGATAGGTTAAAAACTTTATTTCTTCTCGCGCGTTTCTTAATTGCTTCCATTTTTGAAAATTTTTGTATTTCTATTCATAAGTTATTCGGGATTTAAATGGAAGTAGTTTGGATATGGCGTTTGTCGCCTCAGCCTGAATATCTGTTGGTAATTTACTTATTTCTGTTTGAGCCAGTTCTGACTCCATTTCAATCAGCAATTGACACGAAAGAGAATTAAAAAATATTGACTCAAAACTGACAACTAAAGAGACAGCTTTATTTATTTGTCAAACTACATAGAAACCAACGCCAGCCCAGCACAATATTGTTTCTACTCGTAATAAATTTCTTGAAATAATAATTTCTGAATATGTTTTAAAACGTAACTCGCTATGGAAATAAAAATATTGTTCTATACACGACGATAAAATTGCATTATCGTCTCCCGAAATTAATTCGCTCGCCATTTTATCGCTCGTGAATTAATCTTTTCGGTCGACGATAAAATACCATTTTATCGTCTTGTATAAAAAATAACTATTAATTAATTTATTATTTAATTATTATTTTTGTATATAAATTAAGCACATAATATCCATGGTACTAAAGATTTAATTAGTAACATTTTGGCGAAATATTCAGCTTTTTTGTTTTCCCGGAATACTAGTATATTGTAATTTACAAAAAAAACATGTATAAATGTATTATTAGACACTAAGTAGGGTAATTTAGACAAGAAAAATATCATATTTCTTAAAATAATACTTGTTAACAATGGATATATTGTATAAAATTCTGAAAGCTGAGAAATTGTTAATTTGCGCAAAAGGTTTACATCTAAAACTCGGAATTTATAAAGATATTTCTTATAAATGCACTGTGATTTCTGGTAATATTCGAACAAAGACAAATTCTAAAGTTCAATCAAGCGATTTTTTGCTTTTGAAAATAAAGAAAACCGAAAAAAGACGGATCAAAATACACAAACCCTGCCACAAATTTATTACAAATTCAGCGAATAACGCAGAAAGGAGACTAGGCGTCCCACAATGCGGATATCTACATTTTTTACTGTCGTATCAATCTTTCTTGCATCTACAGAGTCGCACTGGAAATTCTAATAAAAGGAATTTGGTTCTATAATGTTCTTTTCTTTCAGTTTTTTTAGCCATTTAAAAGATAATAATTTATTGTATTATAGTCAATTATAGTCAAAACCATGACAAATATTCAGACTTTATAATAGTCCAAAATGCCAGAGCGATCTGACATAACTTATTTTCACAAGGATGAAACCTTAGGCTCCCAATAGTGCTCTCAAGTGCTTTGAATACCGGCGTGTTAGGGGAGTTCGCCCTGTGACACCTTGGCAGATACAGGGTGAGAAAGATAACTAAAAATAAGAGTTACTTAACTTAAATTTGTATGGCTGATTTTTGTATAAATATTGTAGAATATTACTCTGAAGTAGTGTTAAAAGTATCAGACACTTTCCATGGACCTGAACTTTTATCAGACGATAGCAAATCAAAAAGTAGATCTTTGATAAAGATAGACTTTATCAAAGCTACACAAAAAATAAATGAACTTTAGTTATTTTTACATGTCTGATTTTTATATATTATGTTATTAAGACAGCTATTATAAAGTTATATTTAATCATTCAGACAGATTGTAATGACCAAACATACACACCTCTAAACACAAAAATTATTTAGACGTGACTATGAGCGCGGGAGAACTATATGCATGCGTTTCCGAGTAAAGTATTTAAATATTTTAAAAATACTTACTGCTTTCGATTATTTTTGAATCTCTATTTAAATAAGATGAGCTTTTTTATTAAAGTAATAATTAATAGTTATTAAAGTAAATTAATTTATTGCATAACATAAACTATTCAAAAACAATTATCGCATATTTTCTAAAAAAAATATTAATTTGAAAAACAAGACACTTTGAATTATCTGACTTACGTTTTTAAATAGTTTGGATACTGTAAAGGGAAATATTCGAAAATAAGTCTGGGAGTGAGATGCAATTGTTAGTCGACCGATTATCTTTAAAAAAGTTTTCTAAGCCGTTGGGACTTCAAACACCCTGTATATTATTATACTTTTTTTCTTACGCTTTTCACGCGTACCCTTATCCTCCAGAAGAAAATCAAAACGTCAACAAACAAATGACATTAGGTTAGGCCTTCTTGATCTCTCCCTTCCGGAATTGAGCCCTCGGGGTCTAACAATCAATATTTCCTTTTTTATTTGAGAATGTAAAACAGGAAGTGTATAAAAAAGGGGAGAGGTTTAAACTATATGTACTGTATTATACTCTTTTGTTAACGAATATCCTATATGTAGATATTTGGAGAAAGTATTGAGCGTAATCAAAACAATCATCATATTTTATTTGTGAATGAAACACACGAAAAGTAAAATCAGTGATGGTCCTTCGATAAGCGCACATACAGGGTGTTCCAATATTGCGTGGATATAGAATTTATGGAATCAAAATAAGTTCATTCGACACAATTTACCTACCTATACAAAAATGCTTCGTGTTTTTTTATTTCGGGAGACGATAATGCACCCAAGTAGCATTTTGACGACTTGCGACCACATGTTTACTAAACACAACGTTGGATTAGTTACAAAAAATAGTTAGCTCCCTACCTTGGGTATTAAAATAAATTTAAACGTTTTTATAACGTTGTGCCGACGTTGGACTAGTACTACAGCAAAGTAGAAGCTTCTGCGACGTCGAATAAACGTTGTCTTGTAACCTTTTTGCTTAAGTGATCTTTAGGTGATTCGGACAACGTAATTACAACGTTGGACAATATAGAGTTTTCCGACGTCAGTTTCAGGACCTATTCCAACGTTATGCAAACGTCGTCTGTTTTACTAATTCCAACGTTGTTTAGATTTCCTTACTCTTACGTTGGTAGGACGTCGAGTCACTACCTTTTTGCAACTGTATTGAACCATAACCTTAAATCTTAAATTTTCACTTCATTGTTCTGTTCAGTCAGATAGTTCAGTGCTGTTTTTATTTTTATAAAAAAAACTTAATTAAAATGGGACATAAGAAAGGTACATATAAAACTAAATTTAAATATACATCGACATATATTACCGATAGTTTATCCACTCCCTCGTTAATTTAGATTATAGAGGGCGGCACAAGCTAGACTCTAGGATGACTAAATTAGGCAATCTTGCGACTAGTATACTACTTGTTAAGGCCGAACTGCGACTTTATTAGTCCAGTATGCGACTACTCGAACTACTCCATCTTAATCTCCAAAACAACAAAGTTAAAGCCGCCATGTTGTTAAATAAGAAAATGTTTCGTTCCTAAAATAGCAATTCCTGCTTTTTGAATACGTTAACTTGAAATATTTGACCCTAAAAAACACGCGGAAACAATTTTTTCGACTGCGAATAAATTATTCACATTTTACTAAAAAAAAAAATCAAGAAAATTTTTAAAACTTCTTTAATTTTAAGGCCCATTAGTATTTTTCAAAGTAGAAACAATACATTTATCAATAAAGTTGTTTGCGTTTAACTTTTTTGCCTTGGGTAACGAGTTACAGAGTCGGTTAAAGTGTTTTCAATAATTATGATCTTCAAACATCCTCCACGCTTAAATACTTTTGTTTTGTTTTTCCTTCACTGCCATCTGACATATGTCTCTAACTAAATCATAAAAATAATATTTTTACTATAATTATCCCAATTTAGGATAAAACGCGACTTAGACGCCATATTAGTTTTGTATTTCTGTGAATTAGGATTTTAAACAACGTTGCAGTTTGTACTAAATTAGGCTTCTAGCCAACGTCGGTATCCAACGTCGTTTCGACCCAAAAATTATTCTCCAAACTAGTGCAGACTAGGGTTGGCACGAGGTTGTGCCGACGTTGCGCCCCGACGTTTGGTCGCGTCACACAACGTTGTCCCGACGTCCAAATGCTGCTTGGGCAATTTTATAGTCGTGTATAAAACAGTTTTTTTTTCCATAGCGAGTTACGTTTTAAAAAATATTCAGAAATTATTATTTCAAAGAATTTATTACGAGTAGAGAAAATATTGTGCTGGGTTGGCGTTGGTTTCTATTTCTATGTAATTTGACAAATAAATAAAGCTGTCCCTTTAGTTGTCAGTCAATATTTTTTAATTCTCTTTCGTGTCGATTGCTGAGTGAATTGGAGCCAGAAATGGCTCAAAACGAAATAAATAAATTACCAACAATAAAAAATAAAATAAAAATAAATAGACTTTGAATTAATGTACAGGTTGATTTTTGATTGATGCTTTCTAAAGGGCAAACAAAGCATTTTTATATAGAGGTAAATTGTGTGAAATTAACTTGTTTTGATCCAAAAAATACGTAGTGGTTCTATGTCTACGGAATATTGGAACTCCCTGTATATTTTCTAGGTCTGATTTGGAAAGAAAATATTTTCTAAAAATGTTTACCTCAAAGACGATATGGTGTTTTTTTTGCAAGAGACTAAAATTGTAGTAAATACTAGGGGACCATTTTAGCACCGGAAATTTTTTTCTATGCTGTTAGTCACGGGCAAACGCTAGTATATTTTAAAAATATAATTCCTAAATGCCATGCTTGTTTGGTATAGATATAACATTGTACAAATCTAATTTTCTGGTTATCAAAAACGCACAAACATCCGGCGATATTAACCGAGTGCAAACAACAACCGCCACCCTTTTCCATGCACCACCCCCTCTTTGTCTTTGTAGCATCGAAATGCCGCCAACCCTGAGGCTCGCCTACTGCTACTGTATCGGTTAGAGCCCGGTTTTGATTCTGCAAGTGACACATTTGTTAAAAATTCAAAACCGGCGCTGCCTGCCTCCGCTTTGCTGCCCCCGGGGAGACACGCCGCTAATTGAAATTTCACCCGTCCCCCACGACCCCTCTGCTTTGTTGCCGTACTGATGCAATTTTGTTTTGGGATAGGCAACCGCCGCGGCAGCCGCAAACCGTTTTCGGAACGGCCTCTAATGAAATTATTACGCATTAATTAAAATTTATTCAATTTGCTAAGTTATGCTTTGTGCACCGATTACGCGCGTTGGTATCGTTTTGCCGGTTTTCATTTTCGAGCTGTCGCTTTTGGCTCTCTGTTTTCCTTTTTTGCTCTTTCTTTTAATGTTCATACGATTTTTCGATGTGTCTGTTGTTGTTATTGTTGGTAGTTATGTTTTAATTTGTTCTGTGTTCATCGGTTTAAAAATAAATAAATTTTTTCCATTGCAACCGTTAAGATTGCCTTATATCTATCAAAAATAGTAGATAAAATAGTACTTTAACCGCAAGGGTAGATTAAATGATACTTTAACAGCGAGGATAGGTTAAAAACTTTATTTCTTTTCGCACGTTTTTTAATTGCTTCCATTTTTGAACATTTTTGTATTCCTTTTCATAAGTTATTCGGAATTTAAATGGAAGTAGTTTGGATGTGGCGATTGTTGCCTCAGCCTGAATATCTGTTGGTAATTTACTTCGCTTTGAGTCTGGCTCCAATTCAATCAGCACAAAAGAGAATTAAAAATTATTGACTCAAAACTGACGACTAAAGAGAAAGCTTTATTTATTTGTCAAATTACACAGAAACCAACGCCAACCCAGCACAATATTTTTTCTACTTGTAATAAATTCATGCATATACTTGGGCATTAGAGGCTTTGGGCCTTAAGCTAACATCGACAAAACCAAAATCATGTGCACTCCCCCGGAAGATCACATCAATGCTATAAAAATCGGAGAAGAACTATAGGAATATGTGGCGGAATTTACTTACCTCGGCAGTTTGATTTCGGAAAAAGCCAATATTGACTCTGAAATTCAGCACAGGATTAGCAGCGCCTCAAGAGCATTCTGGAAATTAAAAGACAGGGTTTTCTACAATCATGACTTGAGTACAAAAACGAAACTTGCAGTGTACCGAGCAATTATAATCCCCACCATGTTATATGGGAGCGAAACCTGGGTGCCGTACCGCCGACACATGAAAGCATTAAACAAGTTGCAACAGAGACACCTTAGACAACTCTTAAGAATCCGGTGGTTCCATCATGTCTCAAAGGTATCGGTCCTTGAAAAAGCTAACTACGAGAGTATTGGAGTCATGGTTACAAAATCCCGCTTAAGATGGGCTGGTCACGTATGCAGAATGCAAGAAAACCGCATACCAAAATCTCTGCCGTACGATGAGCTTGTAGACGGTAAGAGGAGGCCGGGTGGACAACTGAAAAGGTACAAGGATATTTTCCACGAAAACTTAAAGGGGATTAACATGCAGAATGAGTGGGAAGAAGCAGCCACAATATAATTCAATGGAGAAGAATTATAAACTCAGTTAACAGCGACAACCAAAAAGTAAAGAGGCGACAAAGCAATGAGATTTTTGATTGTCTGGAGTGCGGTAGGCAGATAACATCACGTATCGAGCTTTTCAGTCATAGAAAAGCTCATAAAAGTATGTATGTACATTCACAACACTTGCCAAATCTTATTAACATTTCCGAAAATTTAGAGAAGACCCATAGTTTTGCTACCCGTATATTGTTAACGCGGAATCTCCAGGCGCAATTCCAAGATATTAAATGCGCCTCTGACGTGTCTGTGTGTATCTCTACGCCCAAGTTTTAATAGAAACAGAGCTGGACTTGCCCCGCGGGGCCCTAGCACAAAACAGGGCCGGGACAAAACAGAAGAGAAATCCTGGAGCGGAGCGTGGGAGAGACGTTTTTGATGAAAGGGAGACCCGGTCCGTACCTCTAGCCCGACTGTTAAGATATTTACCACGGGAATTGCAAATGAAAAGGAAAAACGGGGAGAAGGAAATAGAGAAGTACATAAATGTCTTTTAAAGTGATTAAAATCTTCAGAAATGTATTTTTTCTTCAGAATTTTAAAATTTACAAGTCTTACAAGTTACTTCTACGTTTAGTTAAAGGAAAATAAATCTAAAAATAAATATAAATTCTGTTAAAATGAAACCTATCCTTACATTTTTAAACAGGCCGTTCGGTGCCATTTCACTAAAAATCCAGAATCCAGTCAATGTTCTCTACACAAATTTTCCACGGTAGGATTTAAAATACACATAAATAATAATGTCACAAAAATATAAATGCATATATACACATACACAATTCTAAAAGTTTTATTTCACATTTTTTTTATATTTTAAGTCAATGCGGCGTTCTTTCTCTAAACGTTTTTCGAAATTTAAGCAATTGTTTTCTTTTAACCGCACGATTTCACAAACTAAACACCATGTTGTCTACTTTAAAATATCTATTCCAGAATCAGTCAACCACAGTTCATCATTTATCCATAACTAGAAAATTATGAATTATTACTTACAGAAATTTTGCGCTACACCTCAAACTAGATGGAATTTCCTTCGATATTAAAAATTCAAATATTGCTTTATATTGACTAAACCAAACATTATACGCGATAAACTATACAAAAACCTAGGTTGTTTTATAATTTGAGTTTATATAAACACCGAAACTGCCCAAACGACGAAATTTTTCTAACGACTGAAATTTAATTAAAAAAAATACTAAATTTTCTACAAGTAGTATACCTTACCTTGTTGGCGTTACAAGCCGAGGAATTTGGAGTTTAATACGTGCAAAACATAGCGGGAACGAAGGACAAAATTAAATTTTAACCGGCAGTAGAGAAAATGGGTAAAATAAAACGTTTTGAAGCAAAAATTGGACAAATTGATGGTTTTTATTTGAAAAACGATAGAGAGAAAATATGTTTCTTTTCTCGAGATGTAACCTCTTAAAATACTTGCACTTATTTCTGGGACACCCTGTATATTGAAAATGACAGACCCGCAGAACAGAACTATAAAATCGCCATTTCTGTTAAGGAAAATCACATTTTTAAAACAAAAAATTATATACACCATATTCTTTGGAATTAAAAAAAATATCCTACTAAATCATACCATAACAAAGTTTATTTAACAAACTAAAATAAATAAAAAAACAATAAATAATAATTACAGAAATTATCCAAAAGTGTTAAAACATACTAATCACTGAAAGCTCTGGACAAAGCTCGAACTGTACGGAGTATTAATAATGGCAGTATATGCAGAAGACACCACTGGAACAGCTTGCACTGGAGCGAAATTTTGGTATTCTACCACTTGGGCGACTTGAGGAACTTCCTGGATTTTAGCAAAAGCTGGAACAGCTTGTACTGGAACCAATCTGGGTTGCTGCACTTGTTGAACTTGGGCTGGTACGACTAACTTTGCCGAGGTAATAGGGGCAGAAGCGTATATCAAGTTTTGAGCTTGTGGTACTACTACATAGAGGGCGGCAGGATTGATTGAAGCTTGTGGAGTGTCGGTTAGTTTGTCTTTGGTTGGGGAAACTTTGAAACTTTCAGCCTGTGTTAAATAATTAAGAATAAATATATACTTACAGCATATATACAAGCAATAGAAGGCTTGTTTTAAGATGTAAGAGAGAAGTATGATGAAAGAACAAGTTTATGCTATCTCAAATAATAATTAAGAATATTCGTGTGAAAAAAGTAGTGAATTATTGCAAGAAGAAAACCTACAGGTTTATGAAAAATATAAGTTATACTATACCTGAGGTTCCAAAGTTGTTGTGGCTTCTATGGTTTCAGTGGTAGTAGGTGTTTCAGTTGTTGGTTCAGCTGGTGGACCATACTCCTGAGGGGGTGGACCATAGGAAGCCGCTGGTACAGGAAGTTGTTGTTGCCTTTGAGATCTACAATTCAGAATATCGTATAAAGTAACGTATAATATCGTATAAAGTCATAGATAAAGGGAATAAATTTAGATTGGAATGGCCGTCAAAATTTTGGGTCGCGAAATTGTTTTGGGTCGCGACCGTTGTACGCGATCTTGCGCTGCTATAGCGGTTGCTAAAAACAACCGCAAACAAAAACGGAAATAATTTTTTTTTGGCCATATCTCTTGTCAAAGTCAGAATCTTCAAAAAATATAAAATCTTTTAAAATCTAAACCGCTCTCATTGAATAAAATTCAAAAAGTGTTTAAAGTGTCCATTTTCAAAGTACTTATTGCTATCTTGTGAGTTTAATTTAAGTTTTATTTACTCAAACCCGTGATAACTATTGTGAAAAAGTGGCATTAAAAACTTAAAAAGCTGTGCTGTGAACTGTGAACTGCAAAAACCATCGTGGATCGTGGCATAACGTCGGTTTCCAATGTTCCATAGGTTTATCATGCATGTCCTTATATAAAATAGAGTTTCTTGTATGCAACACACTGTATTTTATTTATAAAATTAAAAGAAAATAATAATAAATTTGAATAAACAATATTTGGCGATATAATTCCGGAAAAAGCCGAACCGCTCCTAAATTTTCAAAAGCTTTGGGTCGCGACCGTTGCAAGAATAGCGCCAAACACATTTACATTGCTCTTATTATATACCTATCCTTATGGGCACTTGACAAGCGCGTCAGGGAATATTTTGACTGATGACATAAAAAATTTACGATAATATGAATATAATTCATGGTACAAAGAAAACAAGGTATGATCGATAGCGGCTCCAATTTCGTTAAGTTTGCGCATACCACCTGTGACGTCATACGCCATACAAAAAAATATCAATATTGTTCAATTGCCACTAATATAAAAAGACCTAAAATAGGGAAGAATTAGGACACAACCCCAAAAGTTATGTTTTGACATCGAGCTTGACATTTGAAAAATTATTTTCACATTTTGACACAATCAAATTTCACAGATGACACAATCTGTTTGACAATTTGAAATTGGCGCGCAAAACTTGCCGACCAATGGTGCCGTTTATCACCTGTGACGTAGTGACCAACCTGCGCAATATCATACCTTGTATTCTTTGTATCATGAATATAATTTAAAATTGTAGACAACATCTGTCACTGTCTTGTATCTTTTGGTAGGACAGACTTTACCTCCTTTATTTCATTTAAATTATCTAATTCAGTATTCACTATTGCAACAATATGCTATTCTATACTAGGGTGGATTCAATTTTGAATGTATATGATTAAAGTAGTCTAATTTTAATATATTATCAATTATTTATAAATTTATTAATAATTTTTATAATTAAGCAGATAACTGTTGATGTTCTGATAAGCTGGTAAGCTGGAACCGTTACAAAGACGTGTCACTGCAAAAAATGTAAAACATTTTCTTTATATGCTGTTAGATTATGTATAAAAAAAACACTTACTAAAATGTTTATGGCCCTTATAACATCAATGGCTTTTCCAAGAAATTAAGGTATATTTTTGTGGCGAGTTAACCAACCGTTTCCAGAAATAAAACCGTCAGAAAAGTAAAGATATTATTTATTTTAAATTTTAATAATTTGTTTACCTTTGGGGTAGATTGAATGCAGGTCCTGCAGGTCTGAACCCTCTTGCTTGGTAAGGCGGTTGTTCTTGGCGTGCCAGAACTCCACCACGTACTGGCGGTTCTGCAGCTGAAAGGCTGATGATAACAAGAATAAAAGCAACGGAGTACTGAAAATAAACAAAAATAAATAATTAAATATACAGGGTGAGTCTTAAATAAGTGCAAATATTTTCAGGGATGGCATATTTCGACCCCAGGAACACGTCTATGAGGTTGTTTTCGCAAAAAAAAGATGTTGAAAATCGTGCATTTTCTTATAAATTTCCTTGTATATTTTTCGAAATCTTTTTAGAACTGCCTGTTCACCGCAAATTTTCCCACGGTATAATTTCTTAATCTGTGACATTCATACAGAAAAAAATCCGTTTTTTTTTTAAATTTTAAACTTAAATAGCTCGGTTATAGGTTGTAACCGATGTAAGTTACATATTTATATTTCAATGATCGATTGAGACTCCTGCTTGGTTTAAAACGAAATAAATAATATTAAGATATATATTGAAAACGGTCTATAAATTCACAGATTTCTTAATGGATAAATTCATTTAAATAAAGCAACTAGATTCGAAATAAAAAAGGCTAGTAAGGATTTTCCCTATATCTACAATATCGAAAGATGCGTACACCTTATTTTATATAGGAACTATCGGAAACAAGAAATAGCCATCTTATCTGCTAGTCAGCAGCGTTAAAAGCGATCAACTCAGTATCCATCAATTCGAAGTTGAAATAACCCCAATTATGACCCCATGCACTAGCAAAACCAATGCGTAAAACCCTTGATTATGAATAGATAATGATAAAACTATGCCCGCTACTATTTTTTATTTAGAATAACAATTTATAATTCAAGTTAAGCTTGATTTTCATGCATCCGTTATACGTTGATACGATCGATGGTCCGACGGTGCTCGGATTATGTCATAGCGTTTTCGCGCCACTTTTCATCCGTAAGTATTTTACTTCAGCCCGCCAACGGACCCGTTCATACCATAACGGACGTTTTGACACTTTTTTGACCAATTTAATCTAACCTTAATAAAAATATAAGTAAAATAGAAAAATCTTTATGGAAACGAAAATATAAAATAACACCGACGTATATCCGATAAACGGAGGCATGAAAATGCAATAAATTTAAAAACTGCGATATTTTCTAACCAATAAAGTCTTTAAATTCTACCAATAAAATTAATATCGTATCAACGTATCGTCAGACAACGGATGCATGAAAATCAAGCTTTAGACCTTCTAAAGATATCAAAATATTTACTTTTTATTTATACTGCTAGGGTTTACACATATTATAATTACACTTTTAGAATAATTATTATATAATAAATTTTTCATATATATATACTCGCTATTTAAACCCGTGTATATACCGGGTGCGTCTCGAAAGTGGTTTACCCCTATAACTTTTTTATTTTTTCAGATAAAAAAACGAGATTTGGTATGTTAGTATATGACATAAATTACTTACTTACTGCCATTACTCGCTGACGAGTGTTTGACACACATCAGAAGATGTGTGTCAAATACTCGTCATTGGTTACGCAAGGCGTTTCCTGTCATGAGCTTTTCTGTGACTGAAAAGCCGATTGATTGACGTATTCAGATTGACGTATTCAAATGTTTTTGGTCACCTCCTGTTTCACCGGAAATGACTACAACTTTTGATTTTTAAATAGCACCCTTGGTAGGTATATTTCTACTTTATTCGATAGAAAATGACACTCTGAATAGAACGCCATATCATATGTTAACTTTTGATATTTGCGCTTTAAAAAAAATTATATTTTAAATTCCAATCTAGCCGTAGCTGTGTTAAAATCACTAATTTTTAATAAAGGAGCCTTGGAAAAATAAATTTGATTTTCTAATGTTTTTCGTGTCTTGTCCTCGCCAGTTAAAAGATGCCCAAATAGTATTTTTAAACAAATCTCAATTTTTTCAAATGGAACGAGTATGGCTCATTAGCATATTTGGAAAAAACAATTTTTTACGAATAATTTGGTACCATACACTTGGTGTTTCCAGTCAAGTTGTCATGTAGCGCATGTTACAATTTCAAATAAACCAATGCGAAAATGTCAAAAGTTGACATATGAAGTGTCATTCTATTCAGAGTGTTATTTTCTATCTAATAAAGTATAAATATACCGAGAGTGCCATTTAAAAATCAAAAGTTGTAGTAATTTCCGCTGAAACAGGAATTGACCAAAAACAATTGAATACGTCAATCAATCCTAATTTATGTTATATACTAACATACCAAATTTCGTTTTTTATCTGGAAAAATAAAAAAGTTGTAGTTTTTAGTCGTTTACGATATTCTCCGATTTTGGTAGCACTGGCGGAGAATGCACTAAGCCTATATTTAACAAATAAAATAAAATAAAACCTTGTTTCAATCCTTAATTCGTACGTACATCAACAAAAGTAAAGAACTCCCATCTATTACTATCAGCTTCTACCGGTAGTACCCTAGCTGCATTTCTGTTATTCGGTCTCATCTCCTCACTAAACCCGACTTTTGTTTCTTTTTACCCCGTTTTTTACGCTGAACTGAACCCGATCACTTCGAATCTATCTAAAATCGATGGTTCGTACGTACCTTCATGGTGGTTCTTTTTTTGTGTCGGCTTTTGGCTTCGGCTAAGAAGGTTTTTGGTGGTACTCGTTCGCTATCGAACCCAGAACTGATAACCATCGGTCTAGTCCATGTCGTATTTATATTTGGCGCTTGATAGGATGGGACGTGATTGGCCTTAAATGACATAATCGAAAAAGACGGTTGGGTTTGAAGGTAAAATTGACCTATTGTTGTTATTTTGTTTGATATATGTTGTTACTATTATACTCTTAATAGTAATTAGTAATAGTATATTACTATAAATACATACATGGCCAAAATTATTGCATATATCGTTTAAAAATATATGGAAAGGAATTTAAAGAATCTTTTTTTATACATAGCTTTGATAATCTGTAATAAACATTTTTTTGTTATAAAGGATCTGGTAAACAATGTTTATCATTCAGACCCAATATTATTACAAATTCTTGCACATTTCGATTTGTGGTCTCTAGGGTTTCAGAAGAAATTTGATAATTGTTTTGGCCTTAAAATGCCTAGAAACATTTTTTCACAGTTTAATAGAGTCAGAATAGTAACACTGTCTCAACAGGGCTGCCCGCAAGTTGCAATAACTGAAATTGTAGGAGTTAACCAAAGCGATGTTTCGCGAATATTAAAAAAATAAAGGGAGACAAACGAGGTTACAGACCGGCCTGGAAGAGGTAGAAAGAGAGTTCCTACTGCTGTGCAAGACCGTCAAATATCCCTAATTGCACGACGCAATCCCCTGCTTTCTAATACTGCTATTAAAAATGAGTTAGTTGGCCTTGAAGGAGTAAATGTTTCAAGAAAGACCATAGCAAGAAGATTCCATGACAGGGAATTACATTTAAGGAGGCCTCTACGTGTTCCGAAACTTAATTTAGTGCACAAAATTACGCGACTACAATGGGCTGAGGAGATGAGAGCAAATGGACTTAATTGGAATTTCGTCATGTTTAGTAAGAATAGGCCTAGTGTGAAACTCGCGACGAACTTTAGTCTGGAGAGCATCTGGAAGACGAGCACGCTTGAATGCAGTTCAACCCCGTGTCCCGTTTCAAGGGGGAAGCATTATTGTATGGACAGGTATAATGCACGGAGTTCGAACTCCTCTTGTTTCTATTGATGGCACAATGACATATCTTAGAGACGTTTTAGAGCCTATTATGCGTCCATTTCGAGGGACAGTGGGGGATGAATTTGTTTACATGGACGACAATGCTCCTCCCCATCGCACTTAAGCGATTCGCGAATTTTGTAAGGAAGAGGGTATAAGAAAACTGTGGTGGCCACCGATGTCTCCAGATATGAATGTGATCGGGCATGTTTGGGACATGCTAAAACGCCATATTACCAAAAGGAATGATCTCCCCGTACCTTAAATGAATTGAAAATTGCTGCGCACGTAACATAGGAAGTCGTTCCCTTTATTTAGTTTATTTCAAGGCATTGTCGAAGTAGGTCGTAAAATTTTGTCACTCAGATACGCAACGGATAACATCGTCTAAATTTGCTATAGTCTGTCCAACGAGAAGATCCTTGACAGTGATAGATGTGTCTGTCATTATAATTTCAAAGTAGTTTATTTTATTTTACAAAGAAATAAGTTGGTACAACTGGAACGCATAGCAGCAAATTAATATATTTAAAATTTGACTGACAGTGATTACTGCAAAATATTGTGAAAAAAACTGTATAAAACTGAAAAAATATAATCGAGTTATTTTATTTAATAAAAAACGGTAGGTGTTAATACAAAACAAACAAGAACAAGGCACCACATACGAAAAAAAATATATAAAAAAGAACTATTTCTTTCTTTCAAGCTTTATGAAACTTCCCGCATTTATGATTATATTTATCAATATAACTTATGTACAAATACAAATTTGTAATATTCCACAGAAATAAATAAAACAGCATAAATAAAACAAACTATTTTATTAATAATAACACCTACCAAATTTTATACCTTAAAGGTTGATTAATTAACTTTAATCTTAATTTTTTTAAACCAGTACCTTTTGACATTATTTTTCTGCAGTACTAAAATCCATTATTTACCTATCGTGTGATGTCGATATTTTACAGCTACTCCAGTTTTTAGTATATGTTTAGTATGGTCCTTCTACCATATTCGAAATGCACTTATCTACGACGAGATGGTATACGAACTTTATTAATAGTAACTTTATTGGTGTATAAGACTTTCTGCCTGGGCAGCGAGTATTAACCATAAACTGTGCTCTAGGTCTACAGTTAATTTTCACTCGATTTTTCCTCCACTTGACTTCAAAAGACACAAAACACACGTAATAACACGGATCAAAATGCATCATCTTCCGCTTCCAAAACGCAGGGTATTTGACAAAAGTTAAAAGTTGACACAAAATTCTAACCTATAATTTGGCAAGACTTTGACAAGCGTCAAAAATCTAAAGGCGAGTTCATACGCATCGGCGTCCGTTTGTCATTCATCGTTCCGTCAAACCAATAAAATTGAAACACGATCTGTCATTTTTGAAATAAACCAATAAAACTGGTTAAAAACAACAAGAGACGACGCATGACGGATTTATATTTAAACCCATCCATAGTTAACTTGAAAATTATTAGAAACTTTTTTTAGTAAAATAAATAGATTGGTATGGGACGTCATCTGCTTCTTCTGTCATCGTCTGTCGAAATCTTACCTGAGAAAAAAAAACAGAGTATACCTGCAATGTATGTAGAAAATTCGCTCCGCTTTTTATCGAATATGTCACATTAAAATCGTATTTCAATTTATTTCATTCTAGATTCGCTGGCGTTCGTCGCTCGTAACTCGTCACTTGCATCGCGCGTTCATAATCGAGCGATGTCGGTTATTTTAATAATCGAGTACTCGAGTGAATTTTCGCTCTAAATGACTTTTTTAAGGTTGGTTAATCACTCTTTGCTAATTTAACGTTAAAAAAGTAAAAAATATATATCTAATTCATCTGAGAACACGCATTTAATGGTCCTAAAGTCCTGCCTTAAGTATTTTTATTATTTCTTAAAATTAGATTATAAAAAAAAGCTCTTAACCATATTCAATAAAAAAGCTTATTACAAGTTTGGAAACAAATTAATGTTAAGTAGATTGCTTGTGCTTACAGTTTTCTGGTAGTACAACTCGTTAAAATGCAGTACAAATATTGACATTGACCCGCTACGCGTACACAACCGTTTAGTTACTTTTTTGATGCGTGAGTTATTTTGTTTTGGGTTAAACGATCTTGAAGAACTTTATTTTTAGATGGAATCCTAGAAACCCTTCTTCCTCCTTACGATTTTAATCGGTCTAGGTCTTTGAGTTTAAACAATGAATTATTTATTAATTTTAAGGGGTTTATCAAATTGCCAAATCATACAGGGTGTCCCAGAAATAAGTGCAAATATTTGAAGGGGTGGTAGACCTCGATAAAAGAAACATATTTTCTTTTTATCGTTTTTCAAATAAGTCCAAAATAACGGAGTTAGGGAATGCAATCCCGCACCAAAATTTCAATTCCGCAAACCCGCGGGATTAACGCAATCAATCCCGCGGATGCGCAAAATTGCGGGATTGTAAACAATAAATGCTCTTCTTTTCTCTCTCCGATTTTGGGATGAGGTTTGGACCAGGTTTTAGACACATCGATTGTGATTAAGATGCTATGTGGTTTTCGAAAATATATTTAGCGAATTCTCGTATACAGAGTGGTTTATAATAGTGTACAAATTTGGTTAAGAATTTTTTTACCGAAAATTTACAATTTTTGAAAAATCGAAATTTTAACTATGTACGACTAATCTGTATTGAAATTAGAAAAAACAATTTGGTGTTTTTTTTTAAATTTTTTTGTTTTAAGGAAAATACGATTTTTTTTCGAAAAATATGCATTTATAATCATACATTTGGTCCTAAATGGTACAAAAGGCATTGTACATTTTGCATAGGCCCTCAATATACTGATATAGGGTGTATCTTAAACTAGCTGAACAGAAATTTGGACCGATGTATATGGGGTGTTCAAAAAATATATTTAATATTAAATAAACTTAAATTTTATTATAATTTATCTACTTATTTTATAAATAAAAGTATTATTCTGATGTTGAAGGTTTTTTTTCAATTTGTGTTAGTTATCTACTTTTAGATACACTCTATATCAATAATTTTTTGGCATATGCAGAATGTACAAAGCTTTTTGTACCATTTAGGACCATCGAATGACTATAATGCATATTTTTCGAAAAGACGTCGTATTTTCCTTAAAACAAAAAAAAAACAATCAAATTGTTTTTTCTAATTTCAATACAGATTAGTCGTACTTGGTAAAAATTTCGATTTTTTAAAAACTGTAAATTTGCGGTAAAAAAAATGCTTAGCCAAATTTTCAAACACTTTTATAAAACACCCTGTATATGAGAATTCGCTAAATATATTTTCGAAAATCACATAGTATCTTAATCACAATAGATGCATCTAAAACCTGGTCTAAACCGATAAGCGTGTTTCTGGGGTTGAACTATAATAACAGTTAAAATACTTGCACTTATTTCTGGGACACCCTGTATTATATAAAACGTAACTTTTTATTTCATTCAAGTGTTTACAACCCTTTAATTAAGCTTCCTAAGTTAAAACTGTTATGTCGCAATTTCATTGTCTATATATCGTTAATCTAAGGTGTTTTTGGTTGAATTTGAATAAAACAATTTCTTATTATATTTTTATTCCAATGCGGTTAATCCGGTTCAGAACCGGTAAATTCCGGTACTGAAACATCGGGAATCGCCGGTTCTTTTGAAACATTAAAGAACCGGCACTGGAAATTATTAATTCCCGGTCGTTCCCGGTACTTTCGTGACTCGCTACTTCGAGTAACAATAATAAAAAAATGATTTTTTGTTTCATGCGAAAGGCCATTGATACTTTCTAGCAATCAGAATCAAACTCTTTTATACAGGGTGTCCCAGA